GGCAGGTGTTCCTCAATTGAAAACACAATGTGGATAACCAAGAAAAGTACTTGATAAAAATAACTGCGTAAACGCAAGCAAGACTTAAATGGAACCATCTATTGGATGTGACATCCAAGTCAACTTGCCAAGTTTTTATGTCGGTGTTGGTGGTTTTACCAATCAACCGACAACTGCGGTAGCAGAAATTTGGGAAGCTATCCTGGAATGCCATCGGAAAACGAATTCACATATTTCTAAAAATGATATGAAATCGAGTAGCCAGTAGTCAGTAGCGGGTAGGCGGGAGTGATCAGACTAGTACTTATCTATTTACCTCAAGAAGCGATATTATTTGCTTGATAACTACATCTAACAGTTTACATCCAACAGTCACACTGTTGGGTGTAAACTGCATATAAATATTTCGAACTTATCTGCAGCTAATGGGTTACAAATCTGCTCAAAAAAGGAACACCAGTGACATAATAATGAAGAGAAATACGTTTATTCAATTATTGACATATTAACATACATTGAAAATCCTAATCAGTTTAACAATGAAATAAAAAACTGAACTTCGCAACAACAATGACGAATTTCTGGAGGTGTATTCATTTGTTTTTCTGGTAACAGGTCAATGTGGGTATTTTCTGTGCAAGATATGACATTGAAGTCTCGTATTCATCAAAATTACGAAATTTGTATCATGTTTTGTTCGAATCGATAGAGCGAAAGATTCAAAAAATAAAAAAAATTGGAAAAAAGTCCAAGTGACAGTAGACAGTCTGAATTTGGAACAAGGTTATAAAAATGGAAAATGAGCAACTATTTTCTTTGGCATTTTTCGAAATTTACCAAAAAAAATTGTTAAATTTGAGCTTTAGAGTAGCACATGAAAAAATGAAAGAGGCTGTTTTTCACTCCATTTTTCAAGCACAAATAAACTGCAAAGTCAAATTTTCATGATATCTGTTAATAAACAAAACTTTCATATGACCCGAATTTTACATGTGACACTGTATATAATAAAAAACAGGAAAAACTCGTGGACGAAGCACTCAAGAAATATGCAAACCGCAGACACGTGTTTCTAGCTCATTAGCTCCTTGCACTTGGCTATACCGTACTCACTCCTTAAGTGATGATTAAATCGTCATTGATAAACCTGGACCTTTGAAATCAGATAGAGACAAAATCCTAACCCAACCTGAATTATTTTGACAATTAATAAATTACCTCCATTCACGTCATCATTTTTCCAAGGTACTGTATCATCATCGGTTTCAGAAGCTGATTTTATCAACTTCTTCCTCTCACCCAATTCTTGAAAATCGTCTTGAAAGAATAATCTTGAAGGCACCGGAATCTCTATGGAATTATTTGTTTCGGGAGAACTGTTAGATTTTATGGGAGAAATATCCATTGTGTCGTCCAATAATTTGGAAGTTCTTGTAGGTGTATCAACTGTTATGGGGGAAGAAGGTAAACTGCTCGATCTATTTGGAGAGCTTGAATTATCTGAAGAGGATGAAGTATTACATGTAACGGGAGCATCTGTGAATGGATAAATATATATTTAATACAAGTTCTATCATTATGTTTGTCTGTTATCATTAAATGAGAAATATCAAATAAAGTACAAAAAACATTTCATGAAATTTCTATCAATAAAAAATTTTCTCTCTTGCTCTCACCATCTACTAATGAACGTGCATCTTAAGGGAAGAACCATATCGAAATTTAGAAAAATCTTCCTATATTTAAGGAGCTGTACATTGAAGCATTTGTGAAATATCAAAGAGTAAATAGACCCTACTTATATAGCTCTAGCAACAAACATATGTTTGCCTGAAGTCTTTGGTGAAAATAGTAAAGCAAACAAGCAACGTTGGGTGGTTGTTCATAAATATAATCCAGCTGTCAATCTGAATAACGGGTCATTTCCCGTACAGCTTTGACTCAGCATCAAATTATTTCCTTATGTTCCCAAACGTCAAAAGTAAATTGCGTGGTCTACGATTTTCATCGCCAAAAGGAGCGTTGAGACATTACATAAGAAAGAATATCCCAAACCCAACTATTTCACGACATTTCGATTTTTAGTATCCACAACCATCATTGGTGATAACTGAAGAATAACTAAGAATGCTTTGAAAAAAGTGATCCAAACAGCAAGAAAAGCTTCATTCGATTATATATACTTTAGGAAAACTCCCAGTTCCCAAACGCCTGGTAACGCTTTTTTTTTTCTCTTTACCTCTCGTTTTAATTCATTATTTTTCAAGGTGAGCAGAGTTTGGTTCAATTTGAAATATTTGCTCTCTCTCTATTTACCAAAAATTCATATCACAGGAAATAAAGTCCACGTACATTGATACTCAACAGTTTTCAAGACCATATAAGGATTTTACCAATGCTGGGAGTTTCACATGCATTTATTTCAACATATATTTTGGCAATAGTATCCAGTTTTTCAATTTGATGACCAAACACTTTCCTGTAAATGGTAAGTGAAACCCACCAAAAGAGTGTTTCAGTGTTGGTGTGAGGGAGATCTTTTTGTCTACCCTTAAATATGTTTGTCTAATTTGATGGTTACATAATTCCCTTCATTTAAAAGAAGAGAAAGTGAGTGAGAGGGGGAAGAGAAAGGGAGGGGAGGCTGTGACGTAATATTGTCTTTTCCACATTAATACTTTTTTACTTTACATAACTACTTGAGAGCTATTTTCTGTATCACAAATATTGATTGATTAAGTTCATCATTACGGGAGTGATGAAATAGTGTTCCATGTCACAGGTGAGACCGAGTACGCACCATAATATAGATTTTTGAGTGGCTAATACCCTACTAGAGTTATGATTGTTTTTAAGGAAAAGCATTCTGGTGTGATTATTTCGCTCAAATGTGTGATAATAATAATGTTTAAACATCATGGATAATTACACATAATACAGAATTATCCAGTCCTTTTTTTCATTAAATCTTGTTGGAAAGTTTGTCTTTAAATATAAAGATATTTTGAATGCCAGCTGCCCAACATATTACTTGTAGAGAACCACAACATTTATACTGTTTTCTAAAAATACACATATCACTGATTCCGTGAATACCTACAAAAAAGGAAAAGTTTGTAGTACCTTTCTAAATCGCTCAAAAGGGAGAGGGTTATTCACAACATTTTTATAATTTGGCAACAATAATAACAAAAACCCAAAATACAGAAAGATCTTAATCTGCCAAATATATTTCAACTAGAAATGTACATGTGGTGAATCGAAACTACTTTGAAATGTTGATGACCATACCAAATAATTCCAAAAGAAACCTGAGAGAAACTACTTGCTTAATATCGAAGGGAATTGAAAATATCCGCAAGTTCATTGTTTCGATCAAACAAAAAATAAATTGAAAGATTCACATTAAGAAATTTCAATATCCCCAGTAAATGGTCTATTTAAACCTATCATTCAGTTTTCGAAAGACCTTAAATTAATTTACAATTTTGAATCTATAGAGTTGTCTCACCTGAAGTATTTTCAAGAGAAATATTTTTTATTTCGTTACTGCCTGTTACAGTTTTGTCCCTCAGCTCTATTTCTTTCATACTGTGATGATCTTCTGTTTGATTTTTCACCAACAATTCATTATCTTTGACACCACAAATGGACATTGTATCCATTTGGCACATCATCTGCTCAGATTCAGTGAGATTGGGTTTTTTCGGTAAATCGAAGTATAAGGTGGGAAAAGCGCTATCTTCACTCATGTCCTGTTGAGTTGGGGTGTCTTGTGTGAATGTGGGTTGTGTCATTGTGTCCTGGGTGGAAACTTGTTGATCAACATTTTCTTCAATTTGGAGGGAATCTTGGGTCAAAGTTGAATCTTGTGTGGTGTTGATCCCTTTTGAAGTATCGAGTTCAACATGATCAGTGTGTTCTATTGATTCATTAGATTTAGAAGGTATTTCTCTGGATGGAACAGTTTCCTCAATTGGAATCAGACATGAAAGTGAATTTGGGTCATCTATTTTTTTATCAGTACAACCCTTTAGATTATCAATTTTTTCTGGTATTTCTTCCATATCTTCAATCAACCCCTCTTTTGGCAGTTTCTTTGAGCAAATGTCTTCTGTTTCATTCTCTCCGTCATCTTTTTTGTTGTAATTTGGAAGGGCTTCTTGATAAACTTCTGTCTCTTCAATTATTTCGATACAATTTGTTTTAGATTTCTTAATATCTGAAATAAAATCTGCAGGAGTTACAGTTTTTTGCTGTATCATGGTATTTTCTTCACTGTTTGAAGTATTTTCTATAAGAGCTTTCAACTGTCTTTTCTTTGAGGAATTTAGAGATGTTACTTCTGCAAACGATTCCTGAGAACTTTCAATTATATCATCATCATCATCAGTGCTGTGTTTTCTCTTCTCCCCTCTTCTCTCAAAAAATATATCAGGAGTTTCTTCATCTACTGCAGAAGTTTCACTTTTGTTTTTGTGAGTTTCAAATTCAGCTTCATTCAAGTTTTCTTCACCAGAGTTCAAAACCCTAATTTTTGTTGGAGATTCTGGTTTCACAAGAACATTCAGTATTTTTGGTTCTATTGTAAATGTTGCTCCTGGACTTTCAATAGGATAATCATTTGGCAACTTCAAGCTACTTCTTAGAATTACAGGTTCTTTCTGCTCACCTCTTTCAATTTCATCTACTTTCAATTGTTTAGAAATCAATTCCTTTTCATGCATCTCTGTTTCTTTTTCTTTACTAATAGGATCTTGTATTTCAACGTCCACTGCAGTAGGCATTTCAACATCTTCAATCATAAGCTGTTTCGACAATTCCACAGGTTGCTCTGCAATTTGTGGTGAATTTTTTTCAGTATTGTGTCCGTGGTGTTCTTTTTCCGCTATAGAAGTTGCACCTTCCTGCAAATTCACTGTACATTTCACAAAATCAGCCTCTTTTTCATTTGATGCAGACTGTTTCTCTTCTACCTCAAAAGGAGTTTCTTCATGATTGTACCCTTCATTATTTTGGAGTTCATCCACATCCTTTTGTCGCCTTTCTCCTTTATTTGCATCCATTTCGGGCACATGAACCATTTCGAAATCTTCCTCAGGTTTTAATGGCTTTTTTTTAGCTGTAGGTGATTTCTTTGGATCTGGTGTAGAATTGATTTCATCTTTAGGTGCACTGCCTTTTTGTAATTTCACAGATTTTCTATTATTACCTACTGGAGTGTCTTGTTCAATTTTGTTCAATGTATGGCCAATTTGAGACGGTTTAATGTCTTGCACTGTTTGATGCTTTTTTTTAGATATGGGCGTTTTTCTCTCTTTGGATTTTGGTTGAGGAGTATTTGGTAAACTTACAATTTGCTTGGATGATTTATCCTCGAGTGGCTTAGCATTATCAGTACTTTTTTTTGGCACACTTAATGCCAGACTAGAGGTTTCCAGAGGTAAAGAAGCATATTTCTCACTATCCTTGTTATGCATATCTCCTATGGTTTTTCTTCTATTTTTTTCAATAGGTTTCTCAGATTTTTCCAAACTTATTGACCTTCTACCTTTCCCTGGTAAAGAAGTATTGATTTTTTCAGCATCATTTACATTTTTTTCTGTTGGGGAACCTTTTTTCTTTCTTCCTCCTGTAACATTTTCTTCTGGCGGTGATTTCTTTGCCTTCTTACCATTACTTAGAGTTTCTTCAAATTTTGTCGGTTTCTCTTTAGTCCTGGTTCTCCTCTTAGTTTCAAGAAACTGTTCAGCTCCAACAATATCCATCTTCAACCTTCCCAACTCGGCTTCAACTTTTTTCCTTTTTTTACCATTTGATTTCTCTTCATGTTCTAGAATGAAAACATCTAACTTGGTGTCTTTCCTATCATCTTTAGGAGCATGTGAGCTCCCAGCTTCACTGAAGAGGTCTGCAGATATTGTACCCTCGGTTTTTACTTTTTCATCTTGCTCATGACCTTTGCTAATCTGAGAAAACAAATCATCCCCAGACAGTGGTGGCAAATCTTTGTTGAAATCTTTGAAAGCCATTTTGGTGTCATTTGGTAGCTTAGCCATGTTTTCCTCTAAAGATCCACTGATAACTTCGTCAGACATAACTTTTTCAAATGGTAAGTTCTTAATGTCTTCAGAAAATAGATCAGACTCCGAGTTCATTTTTGGAGTTTTTTCAACAGCTCTTGTTTCATTTTCAGACCCCCTTGTAATTATTAATTTTTCTTCCATAATATCTGCATCACTTTCAGACATTTGGATACTCTTAGATTCTAGCCCTTCATCAGTTGGAAAAGAATAAATAAAAGAGTTAACTTTCTCCACAATAACTTTTGGATTGTCATTGGAAGTTTCCTTTTTATCTTTGTTCTCCAATGCCTCTTTAGAATTTGACTTTGAGCTAAAGATATCCTGGCTCAAGCTTTGGGACAAGTCTTGGTATAGAGCAGGTATATCTTCACGTCTTTTTCTCATAACCTCTTTCTGATGTTCATTTAGTTTACTAGGCTGGAACTTGACTTCAGTTTCAATTTTAACAAAATCAGAGGAATCCTCTTCATTAATTGATGGTGTAGATTTTGCTTTGATTTGTGTATTACTGGAAATCTTTTTGTTTCTTTTAGGAGTGGCATTATTTAGCTGACTTCCTCTTGCACGCAAGGGTGACATTGTCTCTGGATCTTTGCCGAACAACCTCAGTGAGGTAGGAGAAGCAGTTGCACCTATCTTCTGGCATTTTGATGGCGTCTTGGGAGAACTTTTAGCAAGGTTTGCAATTCTAGCAGATCTTCCACTAGGAATAACAAAGGTTTTCTTGTCTTCCTTGGGGTCATTCTCACTGAAAACGCCCAACACCTTAGAAAGTTCTTTCGCATTGTAACTCTTTGTGTCATTTTCTTTTGTATATAGATCAATGAGTAAAGTTTCTAAATGTTTAGAAAATTTACTACGAATGTCCTTGGAACAATTTCTGATGAAGTTTGCCAAAGGTTCCAGCAACTTAAAACCCTCGTGTATGCAGAGAATGTGTTCTATATTGGTACAAATTACTTTTATGACCCTTTCATCATCCACAGACTTGTAACATTCTAAACTTGGTTGAAGATACTGAATAATAAGTGATGTTATTTTCTGTTCATCTTCCGATTGCAAGTTGGGAAGGAGAAGTATAGAAGTTGTGACTTCCATGAGTTTGATTACTGAAATGGAAATAAATTAAATCTTATATAAAATGTTATATTTGACTAACTCACCAAATTCTCTGGAAGAGGTCATTTCAACCTGTGACATGACATTCAGGAGGCAGATAATATCTGAGGCAAGCAGAGGATTGTTTTTGAAAATTGTATCAAGGTGTTTCATTGTCAATAGTTTTTTATCTTCAGCCTCAGCACTCAGTTTTTTATAAAGTTTCATCCAATTGAGTATAATTTGCTGAAAAAAAAAATAATGAAATCCATCTTTTCAGCCTGTGAAAGTTTATACGTTCCACACCTATTACAATAATTTTAAATTTCATTAAAAAAATGTATACCTCCAAAGAGGTCAAATTTCATGTTAAAGTTGAAAATCATAGTTTTTGCATTTTTGCAAAGTTAATAGTGATAATGTTTACTAATCGTGCATTATTTAGAAATATAATTTTCTGTTTTAATGATGGTCATGAAAAAATTATGAAATATTTGTATTTTCCTTATTAGCAGCAGTTGTTGTTCGGTTTCACTTATAAATATATGTTAACACGTTGATTGCCACGACAATTTTCAGAATTCTGGCCAAAATAATAATTTGATATAATAACATTATATTATTGGAAACTCTAATTCTAGTGAAGCCAGCATTGATGTTTTGTTATTTTCTCAAAAGCCATCTATCGATATTAGCACTGAAATATTTCAAGTTTAAAATGGTATAAAAATGGCAAAAGCACAAAACGAGACAACTCGTAGTTGTCATCCTAGAAAAGAATGCAATTTATGAGTTATCTTGTAGTTAACAGTCAACGTGTTAATGTCCTTAGACTAGCATATGTTTGGTTGGAAAGTTTCATATAAACTAAATTAATTAATTAAAATTAAGAAAATATATATTGACTGATAAGGGCATACCTTCTTTGTTTTATCATCCAAGAAATGTAAATTGTGTGCCGGCCACAAAAAATATTCCCTGAATTTTACAAACTCTTCTATTTTCTCAGGAGTGAGTTCAGTTATTAGTTCACTAACTAAACACAGCCAAATTTTTGCGACATTGGAAGCACATTCATCTCTTGACTCAACACTTGAAAAACACTTCATAATTGTTTCCATCATTTTTATTTTCTCTTCTTTGAGCATGATTTGAGAGAACATATGAGATACTATTTTCTTAAAATTTTCCGCAGTGGCAGTGGGGCTAAAAACGAAAAAAATGTTTTAAAACCGGTGAAACTATTGATGTGAATGAAATATCCATGTCAAAAAATAAAGGGTATAATTATAGGAGGGACGGGCATAGAACTGGGGTTATATGGTATGAAACCTGTGGGATTTCATAAAGGTGAAATTATTTATAGAAAAATAAATGCTTAATATATTCAGTCCCCAAAAATTGAAAAGCGTCCAGCTCACTTTTAAGAGAGAAGGTCAGATCGTATAACTCTCTATTCTATTGAAAACACTTTCTCCTTACTAGAACAGAAATGCTATCTCTTGACACACGTTTCGCTAACCCAGATAGCACCATCAGGTGATGATCATTACCTGACTATAATAATAATAATATTTATTCACCATTTGTGATACATAGCGTATATATGGTAGGTCAATGATTATTTACAAAAAACAATACGTCACTTATGAATAAAATTATGGAANTGAAAAAACCAGGTTATTATTATCCACTTGTGCATAAATATAGTTCAATAGTTGATAAGATGCAGATTCAATTGATTTACTCTTCCTAAAACCATGTTGATTATTGCAGAATAGGTCATTTTGTTCAATATACATCAAAATTCTATTACCTATTATTTTCTCAAAGAATTTTGAAAAGGATGAAATCAACGAAATCTGCCTATAATTGTCAATTTCTGTTTTCCGACCTTTTTTGTGCAGTGGAAAGACAAAGACTGTTCTAATGAGGGAAAAGTGTTTTCAATAGAATAATTCAACACCAACACTACTCATCCACTAACTCCTTATTGTCAATAATAATAATAAACATTATGCCTCTGGAGAAGAGGATCTCCTTCAGTCCTTAAGGATTGTAGAAGAGTACATGTATGCTATCGGTATGAAATTTGAGATATAGAAATGTGCAACAGTCCATCTCCAAAGAAGATGAAGCAGGGATTATGGAGGAGATGTACAGCTCGTAGTCGGAAACATCCTGCATTTTCTGGATCCCGACACCACTGAGGTAACCTCAACAAAAAACCCTTCAAGCGACAAGTACCAGTACAAACTCTGATAGATCTGGTCATCAGAACTGTTCGGCAAGCCAAAAGTTGCTGATACGAACATGCCTGCTGTTCCAATCTCACTATACTCCTCTGCAATAGTGAAGTGGACTCAGGAGGAACTGTATTAAGTCAACTAAGACCCAAAAGATGATGAATCTCTATAGGAGTTTGCATCGCAAATCGTCTTTTCTTCAGTTATACTTTCCTCGACAACAGTGAGGAAGTAAATTTTCGAGTTTAGAGTGTCTACATAATTGTACCAGATGAAGCCTGTAAATTATCAGAAGTTCGGATCCCCTTCTTTGCATGGTCCGAGACCACGAAGGAGCTAAAATTTAGGCGTTCTTCTTCAACAAGATTGAAGTCTCTGACTTATCGTAGCATCTGACCTTTTCTTTTCCCACAGGTCTAGAGGGCTGAAGTATGGACCGGTTCGTTATGTCCCACCAGGATGGTGTTTTCAACACTTTAGTCTACCATAGTCGGGTGCATGATGTGTACGATGCGCCTGACACTCTTACTCTATTGCTGACTGCATATCCTGCATGTGAGGTCACAGCCGACATCTATTGGCATAACACAACACTGCAAGTGCTATATTACCATTAGAAAAACAGCACTGAATGTCCTCCATAAAGACGTCTGAACACCAATGGTCTCAGATGGGATCCTTGTGGTACACCGGATGGAACTAAACTTCCAGAAAATTTAAATTCGTTAACTCAAGTTATCTGTATCTGATTTGTGAGACAACTTTGCATCCATATTATACAAATCCTCATGTGTTTGAGTTTTTGTATTAATCGAGTATTATTGACTGTATCACACGCCTTGGAAAAATCTGTATAAATGGAATGAACTTGATCACCTTCATCCAAACCGATTGAGAGACAGTCAACATAAACAACAAGATTGATCTCAGTAGACTTCCTCGAGAGAAATCCAAACCGTTGATTATGTAGTGATAGATTTATGAACAGTGTCAGATGTTTAGATATGAGACAATCTAAAACCCTGGGAATGCTACTTTGGATACAGATTGGCATATAGTTTATAATATCAGACTTATCGCCAGAATTGTATATGGAGGTTACAAAGCTATATTTCCATAAACCTGAAAAAATACCCACTTTGATGGAATTATTCAAAGTAATACGTAAAGGTCGTGGCAGAATAAGGCTATAGTGCTTTAATAAAAGTGGAGGAATAAAATCTGGACCAGATCCTTCAAAAATCCTCAAACTATTCAATACATACAGTTTGGAAATTGACAGGCTCAAATTAGAAACAGAAGAGATGGGGGAGGTTACAGGTTCACATTGGGAACAGGTTTTCACGAAGAACACTAAACCAATTTTTATAAGAAACAGTAACTTCTATTGTAATAAGAGTTTTTGCACCATCCAATAAAAAAATCAACTGGGATTTACCCAGACTTTTCGGGGGTTGTCTGCCACAATAAACAGAGGTCTTGCACTACTGAAATTTTTGACAGAAAATAGTTCCCATAAAATTTCGGCCAGTTTAACAGGAAATTATACATTATTAGAGTTTTACGGAGTTCTTGCTGTTTATTCATTACATCTCTCAGTGATAAAGCTTTCTATAGTGTAGAAGAGTTTCTGGGCTCCTGATTATATTTTAAAATTATAGTTGTACAAACCTCAACTAAATTCGTTGTCTAATTGTTATAATTGTACGTTTTTATTATACTTTTTTTTATATTTATATCACTGAATAGTGTCCCATTGTTGCAGTTGTACCATATTATCCATTGCTTCCAAATAATTCAGTTTCAAACCTTCATTTTCTATGTGCAAAATTTCGAACTCTTTGATAAAGATATGATTTTCTTCTAGATGATTTGAATATGTTGAATTTGTTTTTTTATTTACATAGCTCATATGATGTTCCTGGATTCGATTCCTAAATGTTCTGTCAGTTTGACCTTAGGACACATTCCACACTTTCATTTATATACTACTGATTTCTCGAATTTGGATGTTCTCTCTTTATTGTTTTTAACTAACTTTCCAAACGTATTACTTGTTCTATATGCAATTTTAACATCTCGTTTCCCCAAAAATGAAGCCACTTTTTCCGTTGTTGGTCCAAAATACATTAAAGCTCTATAATTTTGATTATCTACCTTATCAATAGGAAAAACGTCCCGAATTACTTTTGTGTAGACTTTCTTGTAAAGTATTTTGTTTATTAATTCGGCTTTCAAACCATTGTTAACCGCAATTTGCTTGATGATATCAAGTTCTTTATTGAAATTATCTATTGAAAGAAGAACATTGACTAATCTGTGAATCATGCTATTATAAGCTGCTACTTTGTGTTGATAAGGATGAGTAGAATCGTAATGTATAGTAATATCCGTATAGGATGGTTTGTGATGAATTGAAAAATCATGTTTGTTGTTCATTCTACTAATTGTCAAGTCCAAGAAATTGATTGAGTTGTCTGCTTCTACTTCAATAGTGAATTTAATGTTATCACGAATTTTGTTAATATCCCTATGAAAAGTATCTATTTTTCTCTTAGTACCTGTAAAACATATGTTTTATGTGGTATGTAGATGTGAGGTAATGTGCTTCAGGTGATCATAATTGAAGAGGTACTTTAGGTAGAAGTTTTGGTAATTTTTTGGAGGTAGTCTCAATTATGGTTACCTGTAGTATATAAATATTAGTGTAAGAAGCAACTTGAAGTATTCAAATCACTTGATAAAGCTACTGTGTTAGTGAAACATGTTGTGATTATATTTTTTCAAATAAAGTTTGTGGAGATCAAATCGTGAAGTGTAGTTTATGAAAGAACAGAATATGTTACATAATATTCCCTTATTTGGAACTCATAAATGAAAAAAACTTACATATTTCCTATTTTGAAGAAAATGGTAATGAGCTCTTGCAAAATTGACTGTATGCATTCGTGGAACTGATGCTTGGAATCTTTGTCGAATGATACTAAAGCTGTGAATATAACACCAAGAAGGTCATCCAAATACGGTTTTTCATCACTTTGCTGAAAAAAAATTCAAGGATGAAACAAGAACATACTTTGAATAAAATATAATAAACAATATCGGGTAAAAAACATAATATGCCAAAAATGTTTTTCTCATCATTAGATTGCCCATTAGTAGGTGTATATAAAACAAGAACTTTCAATCTGTTCAATTTCGAAGTCATCTTTTCATTTCAACTACCCATAATCTCGTATCAATTCCCTGAGTGAAGCTATTAACTAATAACAATGACTTTTTATAAAATTAACTCAAACCTTAAGAAAGAATTAAAGAAAAGTGTGACTTTGATGTTTAAGGCAACAATCGTATTTATTTGATTAGGATTAATATTGTATTCGTTTAAATAGCTTTCCTACCACATTATACGTAACCACTATTGTAAACATTAAAATTGGTACAATAAGCTCTTCTCTTCTATATTATATATAATATATATACATATATATATATATATATATATATATATATATATATATATATATATATATATATATATATATATATAAAAAAATATANCAATCCTAGATATATCTGTCTGATATAGAGGACTCCATGTAACGCAATTACTTTCCAAGATCGAGCGTACCAAAAAACAATATATTTTCAAGGTATTTATAGAAAAGTTGTCTGTTGTTCTTTGAGGGTTACTTTGTTATCAAACACAACTCCGAATTCCCAAACGCTGTTGGTCAACATTAGATTAATGTTTTTGATTTTGTATGGACACACAATAGGTTTCACAGTTCTTGAAAAAGTTATTTGATAACATTTATTTATATTTAAAAGAAGCATGTTCATATCCCGCCAACAAGATAAGTTAAGTCTAGCTATAACAGTTCTGCATCACAAAAGTTAAGAACTATAAAGTTTAAGATCGTCTGCAAACATTGAGTAAAAGCTGTGGTGTATGAAATCCAACACATCAGTAACAAAAAGAAGGAAGAGAATTGGCCCTGTATGCGATCCTTGAGGAACACTAGACGTTACTGAAATTTGTGATGATATGGAACCAGCATATTTGAAATAATGAATTCTATTCCCCAAATAACTGTTTATCCATTTTGACATGTTCCCATTGATGCCTAATGCTAGGAGCTTAGCCGTGAGAAAATTATGATTTGCCCTTTCAAAGGCTTTAGAGAAATCAGTATAAATAGAGTAAACCTGGTGTTTTTCCCCTAGGCTATTCAAAAGAAATGTTGATAGAGCAATACATTCATAGTAGTAGATCTACCAGATATGAAGCCATGTTGGTGTTCATTTATTATGTTTTTCATATCAAATGTAAGTATTTTAGTTATCAAACAGTCCAGAAACGGGAATTTTTTATGTTTTCTCTATCTCCAGATTTGTGGATTGGAGATAGAAAACGTTGCTTCTAGAATTCCAAAAAGGTTCCCATGGATAAAGAAAGATTGAATATTGTTTGCATATTCTTCGTTGAAACTTGTTTATGGACACAGACACATACTCACGAAGCAGATGAAAACAACTCTCTGTGATGCACTGATTTTATCACGCTTCAACTACTCGGATACTTTATATGGGCCATGTTTAACCAAACAGTATGCTCAGAAAATACAGAAAGTACAAAACTCGTGTCTACGGTTCATTCACAGAATTAGAAAATATCAAAGAATATCCTATAAGTTACGGGATAGGGGGTGGATCACAATGGAAAATAGACGGATATTGAATGCTCCTAATTTATATAACAAAATTAAACAAACCAAAACGCCGCCTTATCTGTACAGAAAAATCACTTTTCGTACTGATGTTCACAATCTGAACATCAGATTTAAGGGTACTCTTACCACACCTAGTTTTAAAACTGAATTTTTCAAGCGATCTTTTAGCTATAATATTTGCCGAGTGATCAACCTGTTACCAAAAGAAATAAGAAATTCAGAACTTTCTGTTTTACGGAAAAGATTCAAACTACTTCTGTTCGAAAGCCAACTTCAAATATAAACTGCCCAACCCTATACACTTTTCATCATTATGAGACCAGAATATGTCTTAGTAATGGACGTCCTCTCCAGCATCCTAATAGATATTGGAACAATCCCAATTTTTTTTTATGTATTACTTTTTATTTTTTGTTTCAGCTTAGGTAGAATCTTTTTGAGGTTGAGTGGAAGAACAACTCAGAAGCACTTGTGCTGAGTTGAACTTCGCCTTCTGTTATGTCAGCAACTAGCTCTCTAATTTATTCAAATATTTGTATGTAACTATAGCTGGGTAACATTAAGACGATTACTATTATTATATAAATTGTCCATTCTCAGTATTCAATGAAAAGAATAATAAAAGTCATAATTTGTGCTGTGATATGGTACTTTAAATAATTCAACATTACCACTTGTTTTGGTTGGTACTCAAAAACTGATCAATTCCCAAAAATTCTGGACAGGAAATATAATTATTGGTCAGTTTGAAGAGCGTTATAAGATTGAATCCAATTCTTTGATTTTGTAGTATCAGCAGCCAAGTGGCTTTGAAAGTTCTTGGCCCTCGAGCAACATCTAGCAAATGCGACCTTTCCAGATCTATTGTGATGTTCCTTGGTTGTTAGAGCTCATTGTCTAGGCTTGATCTCTTTGATGAGACATCTAAGTTGGTGATGAACTGCCAAAAAAGACTCTCCTCAATAGAAAGACTCAACAAATCATCTCCGATTTGGATTTCTGACCACACTGTCCTGAAAGATAATAAAACTACTGACTCCACTACTGTAGGTACGTGTGCCACACGTACCTACAAAATCGTAGGTCTGCATTAGAGAAACGAGGCAACCTTGAGCATGTCATAATGCACCTCTCCGGAATATAATTGTGGAGTATGCTTGTGGAGTTGTTTTTCCGGCTCTGTCTACAGATGGCGCAGTGGACATCCCACTAAATCAACTGCAGAGAGATTCCATGATTAGCTGGAATTATATTTGTTTGGTCATGATACTCAAACGGTTCACACCGTTCTGAAGAGACCATGCCCGGTACTGATTATAAGGCAAACATTTCGAAACCGGTCTATCGGTTGGTCGGATCGACCAATAGTGGGAAATAACTTGCGACAAATCTTCCAAGTCGAAGACATTACACAGGTGCCTGATGGTTTTATTTCAACTACCTGACTATATTAATCTATAATAAATGCACAACATATATAAGGTACTTAATTGGATAAGGATTAATGCTGTATTGCTTAAAATCGCTTCGTAAATAAGCCATTATTTCTCGAAGACAAAAAATGGTTATTGTGGGTTATACCTAAGAGATAGACATACACCATCACAGACTTTTTTGTAAACCTTTTTAAGGTAGTATATTTTTTATCTATCTCGTAGGGTTCAGTCAACGCTAGCAATGTGAGCACAAAAAAGTGTTTATTTACGACATCACATTAGAAACATTAAATTATCAGTGTTTCTCTAATATATTATGCATGCATAAAGATATAAATCTTCCTCTTGAGTCACTCTATCTATTTAAAAACCCGCATCAAAATCAGCTGCATAGTTTTAAAGATCTAAGCATACATAAGGACAGACAGCGGGAAGCGACTTTGTTTTATACTATGTAGTGATGTACAATGATGAAACCATGTAATTTAATAATTCAGGACAAAAATGAGATTTTTTGTCATAGGTCCGTCACTTTCTGGTACAGATCAGTCACTCTGTGACGTATTATTATTGCTTTTTATATTCATGATCGTTGAATTTTCATACTAGTCGTCGATAAAACACTATAATATATAAATCTTGAACAGGACACAATATATACTTTATTCCAACTCACCTATAATTTCTATCAACACCTTGGTGCTTTTCACCCGAACTTCAAGAACACTCTTTCCTTGGCCAGTCCTAGACTCGTCTTTATTATCTCCTACCGGACCGAAACAAAATTCTAGAAAATCTTTCAGACAGAGCACAGCTTTGTGTTTTAGTTTTTCCAACAAATAAGTGAAAACATCAAAACGTTTACTTATCACTACTTCTTGTTTGGAAAACTTTGCCCTAAGTGGTGTTACCAACAATTTGATTTGCTTTGAGCTACATATGTGATTAACATCCAGGCTTGCATTGTCTATTAATTCCTGAAAGTAAATCCCAAATTACTTAAAACCCTACATAAGATTCATTGGTGAATCTCGGTGGACTAACTTTAATGATTACTTGACTGTGAAACATTTTAAGAATGAACCGTCAATATACACGAAAATAGTTCGGTATACACAAAACCCCAATTATGTTAAAAATATTGATCTCAAAAAAAATTATCTTGTCTGGCAAACACGAGAATTAGATACTTCACATGTATTTCGATTCATAACACTTTCTCCACTAGTTGATAAGGTTTATAAACCAAGCAATCAATTAGAAAAATCATAATTTGTGTGAATTCAAAACTTATTTTGGTCAGAATATTACCTGGAAGAGTTTAGATACATTATTAAATTTTTGCAAACTATTATCAATTGATCTCCCTAACATGTAATATTCTTAATTATGTATGCATTTGAATTTTCTTTCCTATATACTGGGTGACAAAGAGATCATTGTACTTGGAAACATTCAACTGTTTGTAAGGTTGGAAATTTTATATTTGAAATATAGATATATTTCAATGAGATCGATATTCTCAACAATAAATCAACTAAATATCTGTTTCAGTTCAATTCTAATTGTACCAAGTGAAGAATTTTGAATGAAACTCTGTATATTTTTCTGAATCAATGATCTAACAATTTAATATNTCACATGTATCAGCATTTTAGAAAGTGTGTGTATAGTGCACTGAAAATGTGGTGCTAAAATTGTATCTACTTCTTCCATTCGGCAGTCCATATCGAAACTTAGCTTTGAAAAAGACGTGTTGGATTCTTCACTTATTTTTGATAAGTAGTGTTAGATATACTAACAAAATTACAGAAAAATTGGTTCACGACTAAAAATAAGTGATATTTCGTTTCATTTAAAAGATTTTCAATTACAAGAGGCTCAGGCAGAAATAAAGAAAATATAATTTTCTCAAACAACTTCATTTTTCCATAAGAAATAATCTATCTATCACAAGCACCTACAAATCTATTTAGCCAAATAAAAAAGTCAGGGTCAGATCTGACAACCATCGATTACCATTCCCATTTATTAACATGTTTCAAAAATAACCCTGTCAGTTTGCAAGGCAACTGTGTTGCACATGAACACACTCGAATATTTTGATATTTTTTTCTGATACAAACAAGACTAATATATCTGAAACAACTCCCACTCCTAAGAGCTCCCCCTATGGCTATTGAATTATAGAAAAATTACTTTCAGTAATCTGTATACCAAAATGCATATTAGAAATAAACAGATTATATCCACAAAACATAATAATGAAAGAATATTGTTAAAACTGTGTTTCAAATCCTCAGCCGTATTTGGGCAGCAGTATGATGATTCAATAATACCCAAGCTTTCAAATATTTGACACTGGCAAAAGCAAATCTTTTGCATCACAATGCAGTTCAAAAATATCCGGTGTTTGTTCAACAGAAATCATTCCTATTACTTCAAAACGTTTTTTATAAAAAAGCAAAAGCACTACAGGAAAATCCTTAAAGGTATTCAAGAGTGATACGTCTGCTTAAGTAGTAGTTTACATGATTTTTGTAAATAATAAGAATAAATTTATTAAAGAAACATTACATGTATNATATCCTACTCCGTTACTTTTAATATTTATTGCCCAATAGGTTTATTAAATATCATTATTTGGTATGTGATTCGGTCATTTAATAAAAATTAACGCGGGAATTCAATAAAGGATAAAGTCAAATGTCATTCCATTCCAACTTATGACAAATGACAGAACAGATAACTTTTTATTGACATCAAGGCAGAGCTTAATACGGCTGAATGCTTAGACAAGGAAAGATATACCTCTTTTACCTAATCTAAGGCTGAATGGAAGCAAAAGCCAATCTAATAACATAGAGAGAGAAAGAAAGAGACATCAAGGCATTATGCCACAGATCGGAGCTAAACAGTCGTTATATTTTCAGTAATTGATGTGTGCCTTGTGAGTCTTAAAAGTAAAAAATATTTTTGTAATGGTCATTTTCACAAAATATATAAATTTGAAAGAAGTCTACAATTTAAACTAGATTCGACGAAAATCAAGTAGTTTTCATAAAAGAGCTCTAAAACAACGCATTTTAAACTCATCATTTCAACCTTCTTCAAAAAATTATTGAAATACTTAAAAAAGAGGAATGAAATAATGCATTCAACATTTAGAGGGATTCGTTTCTATTTCACCATTTGGCAACATCGGTGATAGCTAATAAAGGACAATGAATCTGTTACCTGTATGAGACAAACAGAGATGACATATTTCAGAGGCGTGGTATTCTGTTTACTTATGTTCCGAGACATTCGGTGACATATGACATTTTGTGCACCTAACCTATCTTCCTCTATATAAATAACAAAACAACTGTTGTTTATGTGGCTTGTGGAGGTGGTATTGAAGTATAATTTATATTTTGCCTTAATTGTTGATTTATAAAGATAATTTTACTTTTTTTAAATAGAATATCTAGGTACTTGATATAGGCGCTGTTGCCAATACGTTAATTAGAAACAAATTCCTTTAAAAATTAAAACCCAACATTTGAAAAACTCATGAAATAAACTCAACTGTATTCTGTTAAAACTTGCATTTTCTGTAATAACCCAAATTGAGGAACATTCCCCATTTGAATAATTTCCATCCAACGCCAGCGCCAGTTGTGATTGTCTTATGAACATTCAGAAAAACCCAACTATATAGTTTTATAGTTATGGATAATAATACAGTCGACTTGACTCATAATGAACTATGAATGATTTGAAAATTACTTCAAACCTCTATGTCTTCATCAACAATAACAGTAAAAAAAATCTCAGTATGCGCCTGATCCCAGAGGAATAATTGCTCTTATGATATTTGAGGCAGCCATATCATCGAACCAATAATGGAAAAATTCGAATATGCATGACTGTACCTAAATTGTTCAACAGAACATGACTCGTGAAGAAAGTGTTCAATGTTTCGGAAATTTACTGAATTTTTATATGGATAAAATAATTCTCAACATTCAAATTCACATGAATGTATTTATTAAGAATACACAATTTTTTGTTCATTCGTGTAGAAAATGAGTTTTTTTTTATTCATAATTCAAATATTTTCTGTGATTACGTCCATGAGGAAACTGCACTTCTCTTGTATCTATTAATCGACAGTTCCCAATTGTCTGACTAGCCAATTCAATCCTTCACATAAACCAATTCCACTTGTCGCACAAGTACCTTGAATAAACCAATGGTGATGCAGTAAATGTAATTTCAGTACTTCTGTTATCTCTGTAGTGTTCATAGAATTCGGAATATCTTGTTTGTTAGCAAAAATGAGAAGGCAGACTTTTCGGAGTTCGTCATCATTCATAACGTTCCTCAATTCGTCCCTGACAATTCCAATACGTTCTCTATCATTGCTGTCAATCACAAAGATCACACCCTATAATAATCAAGTCATCAAAATGCATACTGTCAATGAATTTTTTGTTATTTTGAAAAAGCCTCATGAAGAAAAGTAATATCATTATGAAATATTCGACCATCCAACCAAGCAACTACGGAACTACGATGGCATCCAATGCAATCAGGTTTTTTTTTCTAATGGACAAATATATATATATACGGTGTTTGTTCAAC